CTGCCCCACCTCTGAGGCAGCTCCCTGCTAATGTGCCTGTGGGAAGGCAGCAGAGGATGGCCCAAGTCCTTGGGCCCCTGCATCCACAAGGGAGACCTGGAGGAAGCCCCTGGCTCCTGGCTTTGGATCAACTCAGCTCTGGCCATTGCAGCCATTTAACAAGTGAACCAGCAAATATAAAAATAGTCTCTTTCTCTGTCTCTACCTCTGTCTGTAACTCTGTCTTTCAAATAAACAAAATATACCTTTCTTTTAAAAAATATACTTAACAACTAAAAATGTTATGTATTTAAAGTATACAGCTTGATCATTTTATATGTGTAGTTAAATAATCACCACAATCAAGTTAATTAACATATTCATCATTTCATATAGTTACCTTTTTTTTTCTTTTTTTGTTGTGTTAACATTTGCTAAGATCTACTCGCTTAGCAATTCTTTTTTGAGATTTATTTTATTTACTTGAAAGAATTACATAGAGAGAGAAGGAGAGGCAGAGAGAGAGAGAGTATGGTCTTCCATCCACTGTTTCACTCCCCAATTAGCTGCAACAGCCAGAGCTGTGCCGATCCGAAGCCAGGAGCCAGGAGCTTCTTCAGGGTCTCCCATGTGGGTGCAGTGATCCAAGGATTTGGGCCATCTTCTACTGCCCTCCCAGACCATAGCAGAGAGCTGGATTGGAAGAGGAGTAGCTGGGACTTGAACTGGCGCCCATATGCGATGCTGGCACTGCAGGCGGTGGCCTTACCCACTATGCCACAGCCCCAGCCTCAGCAAATTTCAAGAATAGAATATTTTTGGATTATATTGTTAACTCTATTCATATTAACAATAATATATAGATCTCCAAGTCTTAACCATCTTGAATAACTAAAACTTTTTTAAAAAAATATTTATTTTTAATTTGAAAGTCAGAGTTACAGAGAGGCAGAGGCAGAGAGAGAGAGAGAGAGAGCGAAGTGAGAGAGAGAGAGGCGAGAGAAAGTCTTCCATCAATTGGCTCACTCTCTAGTTGGCAGCAACAGCCAAAGCTGCGCCAATCTGAAGCCAGGAACCTGTAGCTTCTTCCAGGTCTCTCATGTGGGTTCAGGGGCCCAAACACTTGAGCCATCTTCTACTGTCTTCCCAGGCCATAGAAGGGAACAGGATTGGAAGTGGAGCAGCTGAGACTCGAACTGGAGCCCATATGGGATGCCAGCACTGCAAGCTGCAGCTTTACCTGCTACTGCTCGGTGCCGGCCCCATAACTGAAAAGTTTTACCTCTTTTCCAACATCTCCTCATCTTCCCTTCCCTCCAGCTCCTGGCCATCACCATTCTACTCTCTGGTTTTATGAATGCAACTGTTTTGTATTATATATATAAGTGATATCACACAGTATTTTTTTTTTTTTTTTTTGACAGGCAGAGTAGACAGTGAGAGAGAGAGACAGAGGGAAAGGTTTTCCTTTGCCGTTGGTTCACCCTCCAATGGCTGCTGTGACTAGCGCCCTGCGGCCAGTGCACCGCGCTGATCCGAAGGCAGGAGTCAGGTGCTTATCCTGGTCTACCATCGGGTGCAGGGCCCAAGCACTTGGGCCATCCTCCATTGCACTCCTGGGCCACAGCAGAGAGCTGGCCTGGAAGAGGAGCAACCGGGACAGAATCCGGCGCCCGACCGGGACTAGAACCTGGGGTGCCGGCACCGCAGGCGGAAGATTAGCCTATTGAGCCGTGGCGCCAGCCCAGTATTTGTTTTTCTGTGTCTGGCTTATTTCACTCAGCGAAATGTCCTCCAGGACCATTCATGTTGTTGCAAAGGTGAGGATCTCCTTTTTAAAGGCTGAAGAATATCCCATTCTGTATATAGACCACATTTTCTTTATTCATTTGTTGCTGAACATTGAATTTGTTTCTCTATCTTGGCTATTGTAAATAATGCTGCATTGAACATGTGAGAGAAGATTTCTCTTCAAGACCCTGATTTCTATTCAAGAGTACTTCAAAAAGTTTGCAGAAAAACTAAATTAAAAGATAAATTTGGGCCGGCGCCGCGGCTCACTAGGCCTATCCTCCGCCTTGCGGCACCGGCACACCGGGAGACCAGGATAAGTACCTGGCTCCTGCCATCGGATCAGCGCAGTGCGCCAGCCGCAGCGCGCTGGCTTCGGCAGCCATTGGTGGGTGAACCAACGGCAAAAGGAAGACCTTTCTCTCTGTCTCTCTCTCACTGTCCACTCTGCCTGTCAAAGAAATAAAAATAAAAAATAAATAAATAAATAAATAAATTTATTTTCATGCACCAAATTTTGAAATTCATGCATTGATTTTTCAAAACATACATTTTCTTTCTTTTAATTTATTTGACAGGTAGAGTTATAGACAGTGAGAGAGAGAGACAGAGAGAAAGGTCTTCCATCCATTGGTTCACTCCCCAAATGGCCACTAAGGCCGGAGTTACGCCGATCTGAAGCCAGAAGCCAGGTGCTTCTTCCTGGTCTTCCATGTGGGTGTAGGGGCTCAAGCACTTGGGCCATCCTCCACTGCCCTCCTGGGCCACAGCAGAGAGCTGGACTGGAAGAGAAGCAGCCGGGACTAGAACTTGGCGCTCATATGGGATGCCAGCGCTGCAGGCAGAGGATTCACCAAGTGAGCCTGCCAGCCCCAAAAGATGCATTTTCATAAGCTTTTTGGAGACCTCTCTTATGCATGGACATAAAAATTTGTTTTACACCAAAATAAACGTTTAAAATTGTATTTTCCATAAATATTTTTGAAGTACCCTCATATACCCAGAAGTGGGATTTCTGGGGCATAGTAATTTTATTTATTTATTTTTAAACTTTTATTTATTTTCATTTTTTTTAATTTTTATTTTTGACAGGCAGAGTGGACAGTGAGAGAGTGAGACAGAGAGAAAGGTCTTCCTTTTTGCCATTGGTTCACCCTCCAATGGCCGCTGCAGCCGGCACGCTGTGGCCGGCACATCACGCTGATCCGAAGCCAGGAGACAGGTGCTTCTTCTGGTCTCCCATGGGGTGCAGGGCCCAAGGACTTGGGCCATCCTCCACTGCACTCCTGGGCCATAGCAGAGGGCTGGCCTGGAAGAGGGGCAACTGGGACAGAATCTGGCGCCCCGACCGGGACTAGAACCCAGTGTGCTGGCACCGCAAGGTGGAGGATTAGCCTATTGAGCCGCGGCGCTGGCCTATTTTCATTTTTTATTTGAAAACCAAAGAGACAGATCCTCCATCCACTAGTTTACTCTTAAAATGCCTACAACAGTTAGGGCAGAGCAAAAGAAGAGAGCCAGTAACTCAATCTGGATCTCCCACATGCTTGGGCAGAGTGCACATAATCAGAAAGCTGGATGGGAAGCAGAAGAGCCAGGACTCCTAGGCACTCTGAAATGGGATGTGGCTTTCCCAAGTGATGACTTACCCATTCTACCAAATGTCCACCTGCATTTTTCTGAATTTTTGAGGGGGTTCACACTGTTTTCTATCAATGGATATGCCAATTTACATGTCCACCAACAGTGTACCAGGATTTCCTATTCTCCACATTCTTCCATCATTTGTTATCTTTTGCTATGCAACTAAATTCGAACACACATTAATCCTTACAGCAAATTGGTTGGATGGAGCTGTACTCTCAATTTTAGATATGAGGAAATTTCTGCTCAAACTGCCTAAGTAACTTACTCAGTCTGGTATAGCCCCTAAAAATCGAGTCTAATAAAATCTCAGCCCATCTGATGGTAGTGCCTGAGAACCCCTATGCCTTCCTTTACAAAATACATCTGATGCAGCGTGGAATAGTCTTGTGATATTTGGATAGATTTGGCTTTTTATGAAGCCACAAGCCGTGTATTTAATGATTATAAAAATATATTTGATTAGAATATAATTGCTGGGGCTGACATTGTGACTCAGTGGGTTAAGCCACTACTTGGGACATCAGCATTCCATATTAGAGTACTGGTTCAAGTTCTGGTTGCTCAACTCTTGATCCAACTCCCTGAAGACAGCACAAGATGGTCAAAGTACTGGAGCCCCTGCCACCCTTGTATGAACCTGGATGGAGTTCCAAGTCCTTGGCTTTGGCCTGGCCCAGTCCTGTCAGTTTTAGCCATTTGGGGATTATGGAAGACTCTCTCTCTCTCTGTCTCTCTCTCTCTGTCTCTCTCTCTGTCTCTCTCTCTCTCTCCCCCTGTTCTTCCCCTCCCTCTTTGTCTCCTTGCCTTTCAAATAAGATAAATATATAAATAAATACATATTTTAAAAAAGAGAATATAATTGCATCTTTCTTAGTATTTCCTTTTTTCTGTCTTTTTGTTTACTCTTTCTCCACTTAGGATATTTGTAGAATTTTACTGCTGATCTTCAACTTCTCCTGTGGCCTGTCTCACATTTTGCTCTCAGCTGTTATAAGCAATAAATAATTTCTTTCAAATTCTGTTGATAAGCCAGGCCACAAATGCTGTGAACAGACCTAGCTGATTTTCATGTGGCAGTCTAATTAGGAAATCATAAAGAAATCTCAGATGCACAGCAGTTCTTTAAAAAACTTCAAAAAACTCTTCTTCAAAAAACTCATGGAGAAACATAGTCCATGTCCTAAAAGAAAGAAGCTGTCAACCCAGAATAGAAAACTTTACCCAGCAAAGCTCTCATTTGTAGATGAAAGAGAAATGAAGACGTTCCAAAACAAACAGAAATTGAAAGAATTTGTTACCACTTGTCCAGCTTTACAAATGATTCTTAAAGATGTACTACATGCAGAAACAGAACATTAGTCATCAGTCATTGTTATAAAAGAATGTGAAGGCAGAAGATCTTCTGTTAAAAGTACAAAGGAAATCCAAAGCAAACAATAGGAATATTTATGGAAAAATGATGGGAACAAATAGTTACTTATCAATAATAACCTTAAATATAAGTGGCTTAAATTCTACAATTAAAAGATATTGACTGGCTGAATGAATTAAAAAAACAAAACCCATCTTTTTGCTGCCTACAGGAAATGTTCCTCACCAACAAAGACACATGCAGAATGAAAGTGAAAGGATGGAAAAAGGATCCCATGCTAATGGAGAGCAAAAATGAGCAGGTGTAGTCATCTAATATCAGACAAAATACAACTTTAACACAAAAACTATTGAAAGAGACAAAGAAGGGCACTTTTTTTTTAATGAGTAAGGGATCAATTCAACAAGAAGATGTGGTGATATTAAATGGTATGTACTCAATTACAAGGCATCTGGCTATTTAAAAGAAATGTTAATGGATGTAAAGGGAGACATAGACTCCAATACAGTAGTAATGGCGGATTTCAACACCCCAGTTTCAGTGATGGACAGACCAACTAGACAGAAAGTCAACAAGTATACAACAGAGCTAATATACACTGTGGACCAAATGGACTTAACTGATATCTACAGAACCATTCATCCCACAGTTGCAGAACACACATTCTTTTCATCAGTGCATGGAACTTTCTCCAGGATAGACCTTATACTAGGCCATAAAGCAAGTCTCAATGAGTTACAAAAAATTGAAATCATACCATGCATCTTTTCTGATCAAAATGGAATGGAGCTGGAAATTAACAACTCAATCCCATCAAGGTGGCATGTACCAATGCCATCTCACTAGTCCAAGTGATCAATTTCAGTTCACAATTGATCACACTGATAGGTCTAAGAGTCAAAGGGATCACACAAACAAGACTAGTGTCTGCTGATACTAACTGATAGAATCAAAAAGGGAGAGAATGATCCATCATGGGAAGCAGGATACACAGCAGACTCATAGAATGACAGATGTCCTAAATAGCACTCTGGCCTCAGAATCAGCCCTTAAGGCATTTGATCTGGCTGAAGAGCCCATGAGACTATTTTAGGCATGGAAAGCCAAGACACTCTGGAAAAAAAAAAAGAAAAAAAAAGAAAACGTAAATGAAAGATCTCTGCGAGTGAGATCCCAGTGGAAAGAACAGGGCCATCAAAGAAGGAGGTACTTTTCTCTGAAAGGAGGAGAGAACTTCCACTTTGACTACGACCCTGTCAGGATAAGAGCGAAGTCAGTGAACTCAAAGGCTTCCATAGCCTTGGCAACTCATGACTAGAGCCTAGGGAGATTACTGACACCATAAACAAGAGTGTCAATTTGTTAAGTCAACAACAGGAGTCACTGTGTACTTACTCCTCATGTGGGATCTGTCCTTAATGTGTTGTCCAACGTGAAGTAATGCTATAACTAGTACTGAAACAGTATTTTACACTTTGTGTTTCTGTGTGGGTGCAAACTGATGATATCTTTACTTAATATATACTAAATCGATCTTCTGTATATAAAGATAATTGAAAATGAATGTGAATGGAATGGGAGAGGGAGTGGGAGATGGGAGGGGTGCGAGTGGGAGGGAAGTTATGGGGGGGGGGGAGAGCCAATGTAATCCATAAACTGTACTTTGGAAATTTATATTTACTAAATAAAAAGAATACAAAAAAAAAAAGAATTTCTAGAACATATGCAAATACATGGAGACTGAGCAACATGCTCCTGAATGAACAGGATCATTGTGTGGGGAGCAACTCGGACTACACTAAGTTACTGGAATTAAGACTTATTCTATGCATCTGCTCTCCCGCAATATGGCGCTGAGAAGGGAGAAACAGCTTCTACACAGCTGCCTCCAGTTCAACCAATAAACTGTAGGACCTACTCCTGATTGGAGGAGAGCAGCGTACTCGGCGTGTGGGTAGCAGAGTTGGGATTGGTGGAAGAGGACTATAAAGGAGGAGAGAGACAACATGCAGCGGGGAACATCTATCTGAAGGAACACCTGTGCAGCCCCCGAGAGAGCCGGCCGGCGGTGTGCCGCTCCCCCGCGGAAGTGGGGAAAGTGGCTAGGGGGAATCGCCCTTCCACGGAGGTAGAAGGGATGGTAGCCAACCCGGGAAGAACCAGCAGCAAACCCGGGGAGGGCCGAGCAGACCAAAGAACAGCGCAGGGTCCTGTGTCGTTCCTCCACGAAGACGGGGAGCGACACATTGAAGAAATCAAAAGTGAAATAAAAATTTTCTGGAAATGAGTGAAGATGACAATACAACATATCAAAATTTATGGAATACAGCAAAAGCAGTGTTAAGAGGGAAGTTTATGGGGCTGGTGCTGTAGCATAGCGGGTAAAGCTACCACCTGCAGTGCTGGCATCCCATATGGGCACCGGTTCAAGTCCTGGCTGCTCCACTTCCTATCCAGCTCTCTGCTATGGCCTGGGAAAGCAGTATAAGATGGCCCAAATCCTTGGGCCCCTGCAACTGTGTGGGAGACCCAGAAGAAGCTCCTGGCGCCTGGCTTCAGATCAGCGCAGCTCTGGCTGTTGCAGCCAATTGGGGAGTGAACCAGCGGATGGAAGACCTCTCTCTCTCTCTACTTCTCCTTTTTCTGTGTAACTCTGACTTTCATATAAATACTAAAACAAACTTTTTAAAGAGGGAAGTTTATAATAATTGGTGCCTACTTCCAGAAATTGGAAAGATACCAAATAAATGAGCTATTAATGCATCTCAAGGACCTAGAGGCAAACCAAACCCAAAAGTAGGAGGAGGAAAGAAATAATTAAAGTTAAAGAAATAAGCAAGATGGAAACAAAAAAATTACAAAAGATCAGTGAAATGAGGAGCTGTTTTTTTGAAAAAATAAACAAAATGGATATACCATTGACCCCACTAACAAAAAAAGGGAGAAGATTCAAATCAATAAAATCAAAGAAGAAAAAGGTGATATAACAATGGCTACCATAGAAATAAAAAGAATCATTCGGAATTACTAGGAATAGCTATATGCTAACAAATTGAAAAATCTACAAGTAATAGATTCCTGGACACATGTAATCTCCTAAAATTGAGTCATGAAAACATAGAAAACCTAAACAGACCAATAACTAAAATGGAGATTGAATCAGTAATGAAGATCCTCCCAACAAAGTAAAGTCCAGCACTGGATGACTCCACTGCTAAATTCTACCAGACTTTTAAAGATGAACTATTCCAATTCTTCTCAAACTATAAAAAAATTGAAAAGGAGGAAGTCCTCCAAACTCCTTCTATGAAGCCAGCATCACTCTTAATTCCAAAACCAGAAAAAGATACAACAAAGAGGACTATAGACCAGTATCACTGATAAACAGAAATATAGAAATACTCAACAAAATACTAGGTAGTCGAATCCAACAATACATCTAAAAGATCATTCACTGGACCAAGTGTGATTTATCCCTAGTATGCAGGGATGGTTCAACATATGTAAATCAATAAATGTGATACATCATATTAGCAAACTGAAGAGTAAAAGCTATATGATTATCTTAATAGATGCAGAGAAAGCATTTGATAAAATACCACATCCTGTCATGATAAAAACCCTAAGTAAATTTGGTATAGAAGGAACATTCCTCAAGACAATCAAGGCAATCTATGACAAACCTACAACCAGAATCATGTTGAATGCGGGAAAGTTGGAAGCATTTCCACTAAGATCTGGAACCAGAAAAGGATGCCCACTTTCACCATTGGTATGCAGTATAATCCTGGAAGTTTTAGCCAGAACCATTAGGCAAGAAAAAGAAATTAAAGGGAAACAAATTGGAAAGGAGGAAATCAAATCATCCTATTTGTAGATGGCATTATTCTCTATGTAGGAGAACCAAAAGACTCCACTAAGACACTATTGGAATTCATAAGAGAGTTTGGTAAAGTTGCAGGATATAAAATCAACTCATAAAAGTCAATGGGCTTTTTATACACAAACAATGCCTTGGCTGAGAAAGAAGTTGTAAGATTAGTCCCATTCACAATAGATACAAAAAATTCAAATACCTTAGAATGAATTTAACCAAGGATGTGAAAGAACTCTATAATTAAAATTATAAAACATTAAAGAAAGGAATAGGGCACAAAAAATGAAAAAAATCTTCCATGTTTGTGGATTGGAAGAATTAATAGCATCAAAATGTCCATACTACCAAAAGCATTTTACAGATTCCATGCAATCCCAATAAAAATAGCAACAACATTCTAGATCTAGAAGAAAATGATGCTAAAATTCATATGAAGACACAAGAGACTCTGAATAGCTAAAGTAACTTTAAACAACAAAAACAAAGCTGGAGGCATCAAAATACCAGATTTCAAGACATACTACAGGGCAGTTATAGTCAAAAAACCTGATACTGGCACAAAAATAGACCTATAGACCAATGGAACAGAATAAAAATCCCAGAAATTAATCCACACATATCCATCCAACTAACCTTTGACAAGCTGAAATCAATCCCTGGAGAAAGGATAGTCTCTTCAACAAATGGTACTGGGAAAATTGGATCTATGTTAGCAGAAGTATGAAACAAGACTGCTACCTTATACCTTATACAAAAATCAACTCAAAATGGATCAAGGTTCTAAATATATGACCTGATGCCATCAAATTACTAGAGGAAAACACTGGGGGAAACTCTGCAGACATTGGTGTATGCAAAGACTTCTTGGAAAAACCCCAGAAGCATAGGCAATAAAAGCAAAAATAGACAAATGTGATTACATCAAGCTAAGAAGCTTCTGCACTGCAAAGGAACAACAAAGTGAATAGGCCACCTGACAAAATGGGAGAAAATATTTGCTAACTATGCAACTGATAAAGGGTTAATATCTAGACTCTATAAGCTCAAGAAACTCAACGACAACAAAACAAACAATCCAGCTAAGAAATCAGTAAAGGACATGAACAGGAATTTTTCAAAGGATGAAATTCAAATGGCCAACAGACATGTGGACAAATGCTCAAAATCACTAGCCATCAGGGAAATGCAAATCAAAACCACAATGAAGTTTCACCTCACCCCAGTTAGAGTGGCTGTCATACAGAAATCAGCAAATGCTGGTGAAAATGTGGGGGGAAAAGGTACCCTAACCCACTATTGGTGGGGTAGTACAACAAATGTGGAATACAATAGGGAGATCCCTCAGTGATTTGAATATAGTATGATAACCCAGCTATCCCATTCCTGGGAATTTATCCAAAGGAAATGAAATCAGAATATAAAAGAGTTATTTGTACCCCCATGGTTATTGCAGCTCCTTCACAATAGCTCAGATATGGAATAAACCCAGATGTCTTTCAACTGATGACCAGATAAAGAAAATGTGGTGTGTGTATATATATATATATATATATATATATATAAAATATGGAATACTATTCAGCTATAAAAAGGATGAAATTCTGTTTTTTGCGTCAAAATGGATGCAACTGGAACCCATTATGCTTAGTGAAATAAGGCAATTCAGAAAGACAAATACCATATGTTTTCTATGATATGTTGAAGCTAATATAGAATACAAAAATGTATAGGAATGAAATGGTCAGTTTGGGATATGATTGTCATTTTTAGCTTATGTTTATACTCCTTTGCAACTTTGGCCTTCTTCCTTTTTACTTGTTGAATATTATAATTAGTGGTGAATTAAATCTGTGAATACAGACTGGATTAAAATTATGTCTTCATAAAAACTGATGAAGAGAGGGGAGGGAAGGAGGAGGTTTTGGGGGAGCAGGGGATTGAAGGGAGTGTGGTTGTCTTCTTAGAACTGTACCTATGGAATGCATAAAAGGTGTTCTTTTCATATTAGTAGAAAATTTTTATAAAAAGCTCATAGAAAATGGGTGGAATGAAAAATTATGCATGGGTTTCAAAACTGTTTTACACCAAAACAAATTTATCTCTTAATTCTATTTTCCATGAACTTGTTGTCTTATTCTTGTATATCACAATAGTTACAGAGAATGTCCTGATTTCTAAGTGCCTGAACTGTGTTAAGAGTTGAACAGACATTATTTTATTTACTCTTCTTAGAGGGGCTCAGAGGCATAGTGGTTAACAACATGAACTTGAAGCCAAACTAATACTTCCTGTGGCTCCTGCACAAGCAATGGAAAGTTTCCATTTCCATTTCTGTAAAATGGGAATAACAGTGCTTCACATAGAGCTGAAGTAATAAATGAGCTAGTTAATTTACTCAAAGCCCTTAAACGAGTTCTCAGCATAGAGATAGCATTCAGTATACCTTGAATTTAATTATTCTAATTGCACTACAAGATAGGTACTATTATTAGGATATTTAACAGTATAGGATAAATGGATGCTTAGAGATGGCACATGCCAAAGGCAGGGTTTTTATGGTTTGTTTTGTTTATTTGATTGATTTATTTGAAAAGGAAAGAGATTTACCATCACCTGGTTCACTCCCCAAATGCTGCAACACACTCAAACTAGACCAGTCCAAAACCAGGAGCCAGGGATCTCAGTCTAGGTCTCCTATGTGGGTGGTAGAGACCCAATTACTTGAGCTGCCACCTGCTGCCTCCTAGGGTGCACTTTAGCAGTAAATTGGAACCAGAAGCAGAGGTGGGACTCGAACGCAGGTGCTCCAATATGGGATGTGGGTGACCCTCTTAATCGCCAAGCTGAATACCTGTACCCACAGGGAGGCTTCGAAAACAGGGTGGTTTGGCTTCGGATTCTGTGCTCTGTACCTCATTGCTGCCCTGCCTTTAGGTACAAGATTTAATAGAGGGGACAGAAGAACTTGTGGGGTCACAGCAAGCCCTCTGGCTACCTCGTATGGCCTGATTCCTTGATGACTCCCTGGAGGGGTAAAATGGGAGGAAATCTGGTCAAGAGCTGGCTGAGAATCAGGGTGAGAATTTTGGGGCTTCTCCTACCCAGTGGGTGATATGAGTAACACAGATCATCTCGGTGTCAGGAGACTCACTGTCAGGAGACTCCTCCAGTGAGGGTGGGTGTTCAGATGCAGTGTAGGAGCTGGGAGCCCTCACACACCTCAGCCCTTCCTGCCTCTGGGAACACAAATACACTCCACAGACACCAACTACATAAATCTGCCTCCGCTACTCACAGCCTCCCAGAAACCACCTAGTGGACCTGTCAGGCTATTGGATGTAATTAGAGGTATTGAGTTTCTGCTGTGAATCTTCTCAAAAATCTTCTGAATTACTCATTTTTTTTTTTGGACAGGCAGAGTGGACAGTGAGAGAGAGAGACAAAGAGAAAGGTCTTCCTTTGCTGTTGGTTCACCCTCCAGTGGCCGCCGTGGCCGGCGCGCTGCGGCCGGCGCACCGCGCTGATCCGATGGCAGGAACCAGGTGCTTCTCCTGGTCTCCCATGCGGGTGCAGGGCCCAAGGACTTGGGCCATCCTCCACTGCACTCCTGGGCCACAGCAGAGAGCTGGCCTGGAAGAGGGGCAACCAGGACAGAATCCGACGCCCCGACCGGGACTAGAACCCGGTGTGCCGGTGCCGCAAGGCAGAGGATTAGCCTAGTGAGCCGCGGCGCCAGCTTCTGAATTACTCATAATTATCCTATTCAAGAAATGAGGGAATTAGGGCTCAGAGGAATAAGGGAAATTGTCCAGCATCATTGGACAGCTTGTAACTGGACAACCAGGATTCAAATGTTGACCTATATCTTACTTAATCTATTAAGTCCCAGGCTTTCAATTCTGCAGATATTCCATTGGAATTGACACAGGTACATTAAAATATGTTGGGAATAATAATCTTGAGCTTATATCTTTATTATCACTAAGAATAAAATACAAGGGCCAGTGTTGTGGTGTGGAGGATTAAGCTGCCACCTGCAATGCTGGCATCCCATATGGATACTGATTTGAGACCCAGCTGCTCCACTTCTGATCCAGCTCCCTGGTAATGTGCCTGGGAAAGCAGCAGAGGATGGCTCAAGTACTTGGGCTCCTGAACTCATGTGGGAGACCCGGAAGAAGCTCCAAGCTCCTGGCTTTGGTCTGGCACAACCTTGGTCATTGTGGCCATTTGGAGAGTGAACCAGTAGATGGAAGATCTCTCTCTGTCTCTTCCCTCTCTGTAATTCTGCCTTTCAAATTAAAAAAATTGAAAAATGAACGAAAATACATATTGTCTTGAAAATAGGACACAGGGACAATGTAGTATCTTTTGCATATACAAGCCATCCTGCAAATAGGATATTGGACAAATATGATACCTGCTCGTATGTTACACAACATACAAAGAAGTGACTTTCATGACTCGTTCAACAATTACTTTTGGTGGAAAAGATTAAACCATTTCAAGAGGTTACATCACATTTTTAACAGTGTGTCAAGAGGTTATATCACATTTTTAACAGTGTGTTGTCAGTTTCACATGACATAGCTTGTTTTGACATCATTGCTGTCCTTGCCATTTGAGAATAATATGGCTTTCTCACGTCAAAACTGACATCATCTTGGACAGTAGTAAACCCAGGAGTACCATGCTTTCATTGTCCTGTTGGTTCCTCATTGCATCGTTTTAGGTGTGCTAAACAGATGCCTATTTTGAAACCCAACAAATTTATAAGATTGTTCCTGCCTTTGTTCACAAACTTGTGGATAACCCATGCATTTAGGAGACACAGGCCAATTATTTGAATGAACCAAAGCCAATACCATTTTTTTACCTCTAGAGAAGTAGACTATTTGGAAACTAAACAATCAGACTCATCCAAACCACCACTGAAATTGTAGGTTCCCAGTACCTTTGGATGAGGTGCATTGGCTCTGATCTTTATTTCTTTTGTCCATCGTTGAACTTTGCCAAGTGATTCTACTGTATCACAGTTTATTCCAACAAGGACACACTTATTATCTAACCACTTTAAAAGGAGAATTTCATTATTTATATTGAATTTGTAAGTATATCATAACCAGTGAATAGACTGTCAAAAAAGCAGCGATTGTGGATTCTCCATCACTTTGAGCCTTTGTTTTATCTTACTCTCATGCACACAGGCCAAAGCTCATCAACAAATAACCACAAGTAGCAACATGTTAGAGTCTTCAGGTAGCAGTGCAGTACACCACACATTACTATGCGGTATACATTGTCTCAATGTCCTATTTATAGAACAGCTACTTTTTTTTTCCTACAGGGGAAAATGAGAATGCATTTTCATGTTTCCCACAATGTGGAAATCACAGGGGTCAGCACATCTGGAATGCAATGGATAAGCCTCACCTTGAAAAACCACCTTCATGATCATTATATTTCCCCTGCCATGTAAGTATAGAAGAGCTATTTTCAAATATTGATAATTTGAAATTGAGTGCATTCCTCATAATAAAATGAAAACTTAATTCTAGAAAATAATTTAATGAATGCTTTTCTTATGTACAAATCACTTATATGTGTGATCTTTTGTTAAGTTGAACATTTAATAAAAATTTTTGTGGGCTAATGCTGTGGCATAGTGGATTAAGTCTCCACCTGCAGTAGTGACATCCCATATGGGTGCCAGTCTGTGTACTAGCTGCTCCACTTCAGATTTAGCTCCCTGCTAATGCACCTGGGAAAGCATTGGAAGATGGCCCAGGTTCTTTGGCCCCTGCACCATGTGGGAGACCTGGATAAAGCTCCTGGCCTTACCGTGGCCTAACCCTGACAATTGTGGCAATTTAGGGAGTGAAACAGCTGATGGAAGACCTGTTTCTGTCTCCCTCTGCCTCTCCCTCTCTGTGGCTCAGACTTTCAAATGAATAAGTAAATCTTTGAAAACTTTTTTTTTTTGCAGTAAAGGTTATATCATTTTCAAAAGGAATTTTAAAATATTTTCAAATTATATAATTCACCTATTACTTTTTATTATTTATTTTTTAAGAGATTTTATTTATTTATTTGAGAGGTAGAGTTACAGACAGAAAGAAGGAGAGACAGGGAGAAAGGTCTTCCATCCATTGGCCCACTCCCCAGATGGCCGCAATGGCTGGAGCTGTGCCGATCCAGAGCCAGGAACCAGGTGCTTGTTCCCAGTCTCCCATGTGGGTGCAGGGGCCTAAGCACTTGGCCCATCTTATACTGCCTTCCCAGGCCACAGCAGAGAGCTGGATTGGAATAGGGGCAGCTGGGACTAGAACCGGCGCCCATATGGGATGCCGGCACCTCAGGCGGAGGATTAACCTGCTGTGCCATGGCGCCAACCCCACACCTATTACTTTTCTCAAAAGAATAGAACTCTAAAAACATAGCATTTATTTCATAGTTATCATCTGGTATATTTATTGTTCAATTTTTTAAAAATTTATTTATTTATTTATTTATTTATTTATTTATTTATTTTTGACAGGCAGAGTGGACAGTGAGAGAGAGAGAGACAGAGAGAAAGGTCTTCCTTTGCCGTTGGTTCACTCGCCAATGGCCGCCACGGCCGGCGCACTGCGCTGATCCGATGGCAGGAGCCAGGTACTTATCCTGGTCTCCCATGGGGTGCAGGGCCCAAGCACTTGGGCCATCCTCCACTGCACTCCCTGGTCACAGCAGAGAGCTGGCCTGGAAGAGGGGTAACCGGGACAGAATCCGGTGCCCCGACTGGGACTAGAACCCAGTGTGCCAGCGCTGCAGGCGGAGGATTAGCCTATTGAGCCATGGCGCCGGCCTATTGTTCAATTTTTAAAAACTTTTTTTAAACATTTATTTTGAATGTCAGAGTTACAGAGAGGGAGACACAGAGAAAGAGATTTTTCCATTCTCTGGTTCACTCCTCAGATGACCACAACAGCCAGTGATGGGCCAGGCTGAAACCAGGAGCTTCTTCCAGGTTTCCCACATGGGTGGCAGCGGAGTATGTACTTTGGCCAGCCTCTGCTGCTTTCTCAGGCTATTAGCAGAGGGCTGGATTGGAAGTAGAGCAACCAGCACCCATATGGGATGCCAGAGTGGCTGGAGGTAGCTTTACCTGCTATGCTATAATGCCAGCCCCTCAATTTAATTTTTTATAGTTGCTATATATATATGTGTGTGTATGTATATATATGTATATGTATATATATATGTGTGTGTGTGTGTGTGTATATATATATATATATATCCCAAACCCATGTTCCTTTTACTGCTCAAGGTTGTTTCTTTGGTGTGGGAATTTTACAAACATCTTCTAGTCATTTTTCCTGCCTCTGTCTATGACCATCTCATTTCATGTTACTGATTTTATCCAAAAGCAAGAACATGTTTTGAAATTCTTGAGTAACATTGAAATTAAGTATTCAGATGTAAGAGTTTGTACTTCTGTGTTACCTGTGAATCGTTATTTCTCCACACTGTCTCTTTCTTTTCCTACCTCATGTGTTTGGATTCTTAGTCTTTTCAGGGGTTTTTGCATAAAATTTCTATAGGCAAATTAGTTCTGATAGCCTTGTAATAGGGGAAGGAAGTTACTTTGGGGCTCATGAAAATGTATAATGAAAAGACTTTCATAGAGTTCTCTGCAAGGTATACCTAATTTTGTAAGTAAAATAATCAATACAGTAGCAACATTAAAAATGATCAGTGTTTTTGCTGTTTCAAGCTTTTGCTATTTTAAGCAAATTGTCCGTTTTTATATGACAAAGCCTATGAGATAGTTACAAGTCTAGATCTTCCACCTCTGTCTTTTCAGTGCTGCTAAAGAGGGGACTCAGTGGTAGACTTGTGGCCAAGGTCAAGCACTTGGGTCTCTGTCACCTACATGGGAGACCCAGATGGAGTTCTGAGCTCCCAGCTTCAGCCTTGTCCAACCCTGGCTGTCGTGGCCATCAGGACAGTGAATCAATGGATGGAAGATCTCTGTTTCTCTCCCTGTCTCTTTGCCTTTCAAATCAAAGTGGAAATAAGTAAATTAATAATTTTCAAGTTAAAAGAAGGGGCTGAAATCTATTCTTCCACCCTCCTAGCTCTGACTCTCCCCTTCCTGTGGATGTTAAACATGCTGCCTGTGGTAGGTGTTTGTCAGGCCTTTGAATAACATCTCACTGTGATGATCAACTTGTAGGGCATACTCTGAGGTCTGGCATCAGACAGCCTTGTAGTTTGAACCTAGCTGTGCTACATGTGGCAGCACAAATCTATGAGCCACATTCCTATTGAAATATAGCTGGTGACTTCACCCTTTAATGTTGAAATGGTTTTACTTTCCTTTGCTAGCAAGGTTGGTTAATAACGGTGTTACTTTTGTTTCTGTAAGACATTCATATACACACATGTATGTATAGTAGGACTTCAGAAATTTAATGGAAAATAGAAGTAAAAGGATAAATTATTTTGGTGCAAAAAATTTTTGAAATCCACATATAGTTTTTCATAACATCATGCAATTTCCATGAACTTTTTGAACACTCTGTGTGTGCATGCTTGTACATTTTGAAATTTGAAAGCAATAATTTTCACAACTAGTCTATTTCAGGAATGTAACATTAAATCTCTGCCAACCCTACCTCCAGTGACCATCCCCCTCCTCCAGTTTCACATAAATAGCAAATACTGTGTAGCATTTTATCTGCAGGAAACACTGTTCCGTTGCAGGATTAACAACTGTATTTGATTTTTTTTTAACTTGAGAAGTTTAAAAATTTTCTATGCTTTACAAACAGAAAAAAAACAAAATCCAGAAGAACCTGTCTCTGTGATAACGTCACCCATGAAAACTGAGTTTCAGACTCTAACTTCTTGAGAAACAAAGACTGCTGGATTTAGCATTCAGATCTCACTTTCATTCAACAGAATTGTCTGTTTAAACTCAGGCTTTCCCTTGAGATAGTGATTCCACCAGGGGAAGCAATATGTGAAATTTTTTTCAAGAAAGTTTTTGTGTGAAATTGTGACTCCTGCCAGAGATGTCATATGTTTTAGTTAACTTTCTTCCCAGGAACTAGGAAAATTTCCCAAGCCCCAGATAAATACAGCTGGAATGCTATTCAGAAGTCAGTAGCATGGGGCTGAAGAGACTGAATTTTACATCCTTCATTTGTTTCTGGTTGAAATAAGCCTTCATTCTATTTTCCTTAAGGCGGAAGCCCAATTCACTTTGAAGATTATACAGCCTTATTCCATCCGAAGAAAATGATTAAGATTTTTGTCCCTGCTATTATAATTTATATCATTATAAATTGAACTAAGAAAGGTGATGGCTCTACTGGATTCCTTCCAGAGCTCCCTAAGGGATCAAAATGTACAACTGACTCTTTTTTTTTTTTTTTTTTTTGACAGGCAGAGTGGACAGTGAGAGAGAGAGACAGAGAGAAAGGTCTTCCTTTGCCGTTGGTTCACCCTCCAATGGCCGCCACGGAGGCGCGCTGCGGCGCACCGCGCTGATCTGGTGGCAAGAGCCAGGAGCCAGGTACTTATCCTGGTCTCCCATGGGGTGCAGGGCCCAAGCACCTGGGCCATCCTCCACTGCACTCCCTGGCCACAGCAGAGAGCTGGCCTGGAAGAGGGGCAACCGGACAGAATCCGGCGCCCCGACCAGGACTAGAACCCGGTGTGCCGGCGCCGCTAGGCGGAGGATTAGCCTAGTGAGCCACAGCGCCGGCCACAACTGACTCTCCATAAGATCTTCTGTTTCTGCCTCTTCCTCCTCATGCCTTCAGTTTTGTAAGCTCTGCCACCATGCTGTTGATTAGCTACTCTGCGCGTAGGCATGCTGCAGTAATTAATGCTCCCCATGTTTACTCACAGGAACTACAACACTAGCAAGTATCCTTCACAATTATCAAGGAGAAATTATAAATTGTGTTCAGTGCAGCTTTAGAGCAGTTTCACATCTGATTTAAAGCTCCCTGGGGAGAGTGGGCCGGAGCTGACTCCTACTGGCTTGTGAGGACGGTTGTTGAACGGTAAGAAATTTTGCCAGCCAGATGTTAAACCTTTGAAATTGGGTCACAGTGGGAGTATTTATACGACAGAAATTAGCAACTACTAAAAATCAGGCCTCTCCACCTCCATCCCATTCAACCAGTTTATCAGCACCATTAAGACTGAGTCATTCAATTAATATCGGTTGGCTAGAACAGCACCTCTCACTCATGCTGGACAGGAATTCACTGGTGAATCTTCCTAAGCTGAAAAGTCAGCTAAGACCTGTATTAGTGTCCTGTGGCTGCTATAACCACTGCCCACAGACATGGCGACTTAACACCATCTAAATGTATTTTCACATTTTTTAGATGCCAGAGGTCTAGATTATAGGACTGAAGTCTAGATGTCAGCAGCGTTGTCCACCTCCAGGAGCTCTAGGAGAGCATTTGTTCTCT